GGAGGATGCCCACAGCGAGCCCTGCGGTGCCCGTGGTTAATACACTGCTTTGTTCCATGGTGTGCAGGTCTTCTTTGATTCAGTGTTATGGTATCTTCCAGTTCTGCTCCAGTAGGTCAGAGGTCCTCCCTGTGCGTGCATCGGACTCCGAGAAGGTGTGGCCCCGCTAGTCTTTTCTTCGTAACTCGGTTCAGTTGCTTGGAGACGACGGCCTCAGATGCTAACCTGACAGCGACCCCTGGACCCCTGCGAGGCAGGATCTGAAGGACCTTGAAGAGTCCCTGTTCCCAGCCCAACCTGGGCTGTCCTTGGAGGGAGACTGACGTGGGTGCTGTATTGAAAGCTTTGCCAGCGTGTGGTATCTTTGCCATTTGGGCTCCAGCCCTCGTGCCACTGCGGTCACCCCTGCCGGGGCCAAGGACAGGTGTGCCTGCCAGTGAGGCCCCGCTGGGCCTAGCGAGGCGCTATGCAGCTCCACAGCCGAGTGTGCTGTGGGGCGGGTGTGCGGGCAGGCGTCTGGTCTCTGGCCACAGCGGCAGCAGCAGGAGCTTCCGGGACGGAACACAGCTACTGCATGTGCGGCGTCCGGGTTTCCAACACTGAAACTTTTACCTCAACTTAAAAAAAAAAAAATTAAAAAAAGAGACTTTTTTGTAAGGTTCAGCGGTTTTCTATAAAAGTCCAGCCCGTGTGTCCCCATCTGGTCAGTGCTGCCCTGGCTGCTGCCACACACTCTGGAACCACTTCCCTAGTTTATGTATATATAAATACTTTATTTATTAACATCATTGGTCATTTTTTTTAAAAAAAAAAAAAGAAAAAAGAAAAACAAAACCGTGAAAGAAGTGCATTAGGAGAAGTCACAGAGACGCTGGCCTCCGGGCCCCGGCCTCCGGGCCCCTGTCTCCCCGCCTGCCGGGCTGGTGCTCATCTGTCTGTGTGCTCCTCCTGAGTCCGGTGGCTTTTTTGGTTCTTTTCATGGGTTACTTTGTTTCTGCTTTTGTTTTTGTAACATTGGAGACTTACTAAGGGGGACACCTCTCAGCTACAGCACACTTAGGTATTTTCGTTGGTTGAGTTCTCTCATATTCACTTACGGTCTCTTTAAGACTTAAAATCAACTTAGGGAACCCCAGTTCTATAACATAAGCTTTGTAATCTGAGAGAAAAGAAATGTATAGTAAATCAAAGGCTCGATTTTTAACTTTCTATTGTAAAAAGTAATAATATACAGAGTTTAACGGAAGGTTCTATTTGGTTCTGTTTTTTTGGAGGCTGCCTTCTGGCCCAGCCGAGCTCTGCCCAGCCGAGCTCTGCGTACCATGGCCTTGGCCGGCCTGCCCCTGCTTACCCAAGCCTCCAGGGGCCTGGCCGGTCTGCCTAGGCATGGAGGCCACCCTGGGGTCCACACAGTGCTGCCTGCTGGAGAAACACCTGCCCTAGGTGTCCTCACAGACCCCCAGATGAGGGCCCCAGGGGCTGTGGGGTCCGTGCCTCAGCGGCTTGGTCTGGTGGCCCGTGGTCCCCACAGGCACGCCTGGGTGAATATAGGACTGGTCGTGGGCATCCCTGGGCAGGTGACGTTTCAGTCCCTGGCCCTCCGCGGGTGTGGGAGTGCCTGGTGGGCTGCCGGCAATTCTGCCACTTGGCTTGTTAAACTTTTAAGTCAATTTTGTTTATAGTAAAAATATAAATGGATTTTAAAGTTCCATTTTTAAAAGTTACCCTTGTTTTTCAAAGGTATTTTCTAAATAGATCTTTAATAGAATATTTAAACTGTGATTTTAAGGAATTAACACGAGGTCGACAGGTCTTGGCACAGGATCTGAGTGGTGAAGTTCCAGGAGTGCACTCTTGGGCGAGGCACAGGCCCCGGCCAGGGTCCCTGGGGGAGCTGCAGGTAGTGGGGTGTTGCCCGTGGGAGCTGGCCCGAGAGAAGCAGCTGGAGTCGGTGCAGTGGCCCGCTGTCCACCATGCTTGACGCAACCGCCACCCACCCTTCTCGCAGGGTCCCTGGCTTGGCGGCTCCCGGGCTGTGGCCTCATTGAGCGCACAGCTCTTGGTGCTGTAACTTCAGGCCTTCTGTCCAGACTCAACACTGTTTCTCTTCAGTTTTGGAGGGTCAGCGACTCCCTTGAGACCCTTGGTGTGAGCTGTGGGCGCCTGGCGCCCCACTCACCTATGTGGGGAGGACTGCAGTGGCTCCATTAGATTGTCCCTTGCAGAGAGCCGTAGGGCAGCTCTCGGCAGGCTTCCTTGGGAAGGGCACACGAAGGGCAGGAGGAGCCTTGGAGGCCAGGCCAGGCCTGGGTGGCCCCGGGCCCAGGCCCTCCTGCTGGCCCGCCCCAGGCTTGCTCACAGACCCAGATGCGCGTTTTCTTGTTCGTTTGGTTTTGTTCTTTTCAGTGTCCCGCCTTTTACTGTCACTGGGAAAAGCAATGCCACCTCAAGGCTGTCACACCCACTGTGTACCGCTGTTCCCTGATGACACTAACACTTACAGGACATTTTCCTTTTTATATCTAAAATGTTACTTTTCTGTATGATGTGCATGCAAGTTTACCGTAACTTTTCTTAACTTTTTAGTGCCGTTTCTAGTATATTCCTGTAAATGTCAGTTACTGAAAAAGAGTCCGGTGTAAGTAGTTTAGCTTGTTTATTGCAATGCTGGCCTCAACACCACAGAATAAAAATGGTAGAGAGTACTCTGATGTTTCTGGTAATCATGGACCCTTCTCCTGGGGCATTTGTTTTGTTTTCATAATAAAAAGAAGAAGAAAAAGGCCAACTGTGTGCTGTCCTGTGCTTTCTGCGGCTGCATGGTGAAGCTCTTAGCAGAAGCACCCAGAGCATCCCACAGCTCCCGCCCTCCCCCTGGCCGAGGCACTGGGGTTTGGGGTGCTGCCTGGCCTCCCTGAGAGCTCCACCCTCCTTCCTAGTACCGTCTTCTGGGACAGGCTGCTGTGTGTGAGGGGGAGAAACTGGGACCTCGAGTGTGCCAGGTTCCCGTCTCCTGCGCCCCTGTCCCCACCCCAGGCTGCCTTCAGAGATGCGGGCACTCCCCCTGCTGGGCCTCCCCTAGCACTTGCCCCTCGGGCCTCGGCTACACTGAGGCCATTGCCTGTGGTGCAGGCATCCAGCCCTCTTTTTGGGTCCAGCCGGCCAGGCATGATCGGAGTGCACCAAGAACAGGTCTGGACAAGGTCCCAACACTGCTCAAGATAGCCATGGAGAATGGTCCCAGATCTTCCTGGAGAGGAGGTACTCATGTGACTGGCCCCAGCACAGGCCAGGGAGCATGTCCACCCCCACCCCAGCTGAGTCAGGCTGATTGTCACTCCTACTGACACTGATCCTTCACATTCAGACCAGCCTTCTCCAGCGTAGCACTGGCCTGTCCACCTCAGGCAGATGGCACCTTCCTGCAGCCTAAGCAGCTTAGCACCAGCTGTCCTATGTATGGGTGGAGGCCTGTTTGTCACCTGCATCCGCTGACCCCTCCAGAGACTGGCCCAGTGAGTCTTATCCTCCCTGTGCTGATGTATCCTCAGACCCCAACCCATTTAAGTGTTGTCTCATGCTGACCTGACCTTGACCTGTCCTTAGGTTAGTCATAGATGCAGTGAGCAGGTGGCATTCAGGTATTGCAGATAAGTGTGGGCTTGTTTTCTTCCCAAGCAGGGATTACACAGAAGAACTGAAAACCGTTGACAGAAACTACCTAGTAGACTTGGCACAGTTCCCAAGTGCCAGGTCCCCTTGATAGGTGAGTCTTCCTCTAGCAGATGGATAGTCCACCAGCCCTGAGCATCCCCTGTGGGACGGTGGAACTTCAGGAAGTCTCACTTTAAGCCTTGTTTGGGGCAGCCAGCAGGCCAGGGGCCTAGCAGAAAGGCCCAGGCTGCAGCTGACCTGTGGTGTTGGCCATCGCACCAGCACACTGCAGGGGGCCAGCGCAGCAAGCACGCTGTGCTCAGGACAAGCTGCGTGCAATAGGGACGAGCTGGGCACTACCGCTGGCCACCTGCCAGGTGTCACAGGCAGAAACAGGCCCCGTCTGAACAGCTGAGTGGAAGGAATGCATGGGCGGAGGATGCCCTCAAAGCAGGAGCATGGAGACGTGCACCCCGCTGCGACAGCGATGCTCTCTGGGGCACTAGGGCTTTAGCAGTCCTCAGGTAGCACCAAGAAACCAAAAGCCAAGTAAGATCAAGAACACATTAAAAAATGAGAGGGAAGGAGAATCCTAAAGGATGTTTATTTAGATGAGAGAATCCACGGACAAAGCACACCTGACATCTGCACCGCCATGGTGATGGTCATGACAGCAGGGGGCAAGTTCTTCCAAAATGACTTGAGGAAACTGCCCACAGAGGTGGGCTCTGTTGCCCGTGTGCAGAGATGACAAGTCAAATGTTGGGCAGCTGCAGCTCAGAGTACAAAGACCAAAATACTCCATCCAGGGAGGGACCTGCCTTTCTCAACCACGGGACTATGTTTGAAAGCACTGTAGGCAACTCCTGTGGAGCTTAAAATTTGGGATTTTGCTTAAGGGGTTCAGGATGTACTTGCCTGTGGGCCAGTGAGGATTGTGCTGGACTATGGCTACTGAGCTGCCACCTCTGCTGGGCTGGCCACTGGCCACTACATGCACGCTGATGGATCTCACCTGTTCTTCACCAAGCAGAAGTTACCACTCAAAACAACCTGTAAGACCTTGAGGGCTGAGGACATAGCTCCGTGGTAGAGCACTTGCTTATCACATGAGGCCTGGTTCCATCCCAGCAAAGCAAACCAGCAAACGAAAACTTGAAGAAAGGTTGCAAGGTGGGAGCCACTCTTGTTGGTCTTGTCTGGAAACAGAAACACAGCGACCAGCAGTGCCCAGGCCCTCCATTCCCTGCAGCGCCTGGTGCAGCGGCATGTCATAATGTTGGGCTACAAAGGTCCCCAGCAATCTCTGGGTACCAGTTGCACTGATCTGTGCTAAAGGGCTCGGAGCTGGGCTTCTTGGGTTCTTACACAGGAGCTCAATCTTCGTGGTCTTTAAGATCTCCGACAAGAAATGAACAGGACCACGGAACAAATTAGTCTCTCTTTCCTCAAGGCTTGGCACTTGAGTGCAGCTTTCCACACTGGAATTACATAATTATGCAAAACTTGGATTGTCCTGTGTCTCGGGAGACCTCAAGCTTGTTTCTGTCTCTGACTAAAATGGCCTCGTTTCCATACTGTGAGTACCACATGCTTCGGCTCCTGCTCAGGTATGTCCCAGGTGGCACAAATTCCAACTTCTGCTGCTGCTGTTGCCAGATGAGCAAGGAAGTGTCCCTGTACCTTAGGCGGGCGTAGCCTTCCGACAGGGCCTTCTCTGCCAGCGGGACTCGGCTGCTCATCCCAGCGCGGGCTCCTGCACCGGCCGCCCTCGCGTGCGGAGGGCTGCTGGCTGCTCCACTCTGGACTAACGAACAACTCTCGCAGCAGCCAGGTTTGAGGATGCCTTGTCAAACGCACTGGGGGAGGTTAGGGGTTCGGACTGTTTGCAGGACACATCCTTAGCAGGGCGGCGTGGCGAAGAAAGGAGATGTGCCTCTGGGAGTTGGTGAGCCACCTGCAGCGCCATTCGGGATGGCCCACGGGTCACGGCTGCAGGGCACGGTGGTGTGCCCACACGGACAGGCCTAGGCACCACTCTGGGGCCTGTGGAGCGTCGTGCCTCCGCGCCACGGCCTGGACAGCTGGGCGGGAGACACCTCCAGGCCCGGGCACAAGCGCGCGGTGCAGCCAGACCCGCGGGGAGAGGCGGCG